ATTGCTGTGACCATTTTTATATTAGTTAACTGAATACTCTTACCTGGTTGTCATGGTCCTAGTTCCAAATTTCTGTTATATCATTGTTACTTCCTACTAGGTACTTATTATTCGCCTAGATCTTTACAATTATTTTTTAATTTATTAACACAGGCTCAGCTTTCCTCAAAGCCTGCCCTTCAGTTAGATCAGTCAATAACACCACTAATATCAGTAAATTGGCTGTAGCTTTGAAACCTGTATACACTTACTTAGATTACTACAAGAAAGCATTCCAAGCTCAGGTCTGAGGTAAAGAGAGAGAGAAAAAAAATTGAGGAAACCTCAGTACTACTGTGTCCTATGTCAAAACATAATAAGTAATAAAAACATTCATGTAGCTTGCATTTTATAATGCGCTGCACAGTTTGACATGAAGCCCAGAATAATCTTCCCAAATGCTGGCTACTGGTGCAGAGGATATTTTCCAGATGCATGCACATTACAGAAAGCAAATTAGAGCGGGGACAGACACTAGCTTATCTAAAGCCTGACTCTGCCTTTTATTCTCTCTATGAACGTTCCCATCCAGCTACCTCTGTACTCTTAGCAAACATGCTTCTGAATTATGAAAATCCGTATTAGTTGAATTAATCACCTAAATCAGCTGCAGGGTGGTAGAATGAATCCTAGCATTTATAATTCTGTTATTCTAAAGTAACAATCCTGCCATTCATGTAATTTTTCATCTTAGTCACTTTTCAATGCTTCAGAATCAGTCCCACCATATTTAGTTGGGTCCCTCAAAGGCCCACAGTTATCTGCCACGAGCTCCTTTTAGTGACAGTTACTCTATTCCTGCAGGGAGTTTCTTAAACTTGGAAGTCAGGGGCCAAGGAACTGTTGTTCTTGTTTTGGTTCTAAATTTATCTATATTTCCTGACTGGTCTCACCCTTTTGTGCTGAGTCTTTCTACCTTGAGGTTACATTCAGAAAACCCCTTCTTCATATCTGAGACCTTTTTATAACATGCCTTTTATCCACTTGCTTTGTGCTATTTCACAGACTTCTGTTTAATGACCTTCGTGTGATTTTATCAGACAAAATGGTCAGTGGGAGCAGCGTTTGATAGTGCTTAGCATTTGAAGATATTCTCTCTCTCTCTCTCTCTCTCTCTCTCTCTCTCTCTCTCTGTCTCTCTCTCTCCCTCTCCCTCCCTCCCTCCCTCCCTCTCTGTCTATCAAAATAGTGTTGCATTATATTTCAATGCAAATACAATGTAAACCCTCACAATAGCTCTAGGAGGAAAGCAGTTTAGGATTTTACATTCTTCTGACAAATAAAACGATGTATTATGAGATTTAAAATAATTCCAGAGATTTTAAATAATAGTATAAATCACACATGATTTTGAAATTCAAGCCGATCTGTATCTCAGATTCCGTGTTAAGGTATTACATGCATGTATATTAATGTGCTTTGATTATATTCATTTCTCAGTTACTCTTACTCAGTCCTTATAAGCACCCCTTCATCTTCCCTTTTAGCTATTTGTTGATTATTTATTTGTCTTGTGTGTGTGTGTTATTTTCCATGTATATGCAGCCGCACATGTGAACTTTGAATTTTAATATTTTCTCTATTTTTCTCTTCATAGCCAGTTGATAGCAATTTACAATTATTGGTTGAAAAAAAATACACAGACATACATTCAATTTTCTTTTCTCAGGTATGCTGTGCATGTATCCTGTATTTATGTACCACAATATGAACATATGTGAATAGCAGTATTCCCATTTTTCTCCAGTTCTTATAGTTATAAGTTAATAAATGCTGTTAAAGCATTTGCCATAGATAATAAACATTATTTGGTGCTTCATTCCTTCGAAACATGACTGACGCTATAAAGGCAGTAAAACCTGAGGCGACCAGGGATATTTCCAATCTTCTTTCCCATGTCTTTTTTTTTCTCAATTCTGTTGTAGAGAATTACATAATTCCCTCTTGTTTTAGGGCTTCATGTTCTGCTAAGGCCATATTTGTTATTTTATTCTTATTTATCTTATCAAATATTATTTCTGAGGAACAGATGTTTAATAAATAATTTCCAAAGGAGAAAGCATTTCAGTCATGTTGGCACATAGCTTCTTGAATCCACAGCGGGCCATACCTTTAGTTACTTCTCAGTATGTCTTGGGGGTATTTTAAGACTCCACCACATTAATAAATTATTCATATGGTACTTGGAGGTTTAGCTTGAAAAGCTTTTATGCACTGAGTTTAGACTTATGCTGTGCAATGAACATTACTGTATAGGTATTATCCACATTGATAAATACTAAATGATTAAAATATTGAGATTACAATAGTTCATTCAAGCAAAGCATTCCTTAGGAACTGAACAGGGGTGGGTTTTGTACTTTTCTTTCCAAATATATGTCTCTATCTCTTAGCTATTAACCTTTAAAGTGACTTTTGTGGATATCAGAGAAAAGATGGATCTAAAGTGGGCATGGTTTCTCCGAGCACATCACAGGTAGAGTGGAATCATTTTCTGAGTTTCTGAATCAGCAAAAAGAGAGCGAATTTGGCAGCATTAATGCAGTGTGTGAAGTTCCTTATCACGACCAAGTGAAGAGGCAGGAAATTGCAGGCCAGATAAAATGATGGGCTACCGGGAATTTTATCAGGTCCAGATCATCACTTCAATGACGGTTGTAATGTCCGCTTGGTGTCACTGTGCCCATTACTTGCATGTTCTCAACTGAGTACTCTACCAGCAGATCTGTCCTTACATAATTACAGGGAGACGGAAATGTACCAGGCACTTATTTTGAGTCTCCAATCTGCTCCCTCCCTGCCCATCTGAAGGCCCCACTCAATTTTCAGTACAGTCTTAGTGATAGTATCATTCCTAACATGACCACTTCTTAACTCTCACTTGGAATTCTATCAGTGTTATTACCCAGTTGTCACCACAGAGTATTGTATATAACATCTATCATTCAGTCCTTATCCTCATTGGGACTGAATAATGGGGTGTCCCTCACAAAACAATGAATAAATACAATCATAAGCCAGTATAAAATTTGGATTTACCAGAAACAATTGTGTGTGCCACTCAGTCAGAAATGCCTTGGGTTCATGTGTTCCCACTGATTGATAGCCTGTTGCTAACAGTATAGATTACTATGATGTCAACTTGACAGAATCTGTAATCAACTAGGAGAGAAGCCTCTGGCCATGTCTGTGAGAGATTTTGGAGACTGAGCTATTTGAGGTAGGTGGATCCATCCTAACGGTGGGCAGTCATTGCTATTACAAAGACTAGGGACCTGGACTGAACAAAAAGGTGAGAGCAATAGTCTCTGTCTGTCTCTCTAACTCTCTCTCTCTCTCTCTCTCTCTCTCTCTCCCTCTTATCTATCTATCTATCTATCTATCATCTATCTATCTGTCTATCTAATCTAACTATCTTCTATAATTTAAATTTTATCATAAGTATATCTATCATCTCTATTTCTAGCTGTCTCTATCTTTATGAATCTCTATCTGTCTTTCCTGACTGTATATACAAGATAACCAGTAACCTCAAGCCCCTACCGGTGACTTCCAAACTATGACATAGTACCATGAATTGTAAGCAAAATAAACCCTCTCTTCTTTAATTTGCTTTTGTGGGTTTTCCATTTATTTTTATTTATGTTGATTTATTGTTAGTCTTCTTGTTTGTATTTTACATTATACATGGTACAAATGCCTGCAGAGGACTGAAGGCAGTTGCCTAGTAACTGCGGTGTTGGGAACTGAAACTAGGTCTTCTTAAGAGCATCTTAAGCTCTGAGGCATCTTTCCAGCTCCTGTTTCTCAGGTGTTTGTCATAGCTGTGATAAAAGTAACTAATACAATTGACCTAGTTTCTGCTCCTTTATTGGTTTGGAAGTTGATTTTAATCTCACCATTCATTACTTAGATAACAGTTTGTGATACCACAAGGCAATCTTTGTTATTATTATTGTCACTATAATTTTCTCTATGTATTGACCACGTATGGGTCTAGTTCATAAAGTATTTTCTAACAAGTCACATTTATTCTGGTTGCTTCTGTGTTTCATGTATGGTCCTTCCTGTACCAACTTCAACTCATTAAGCCTTGTACTTTCTTCAAATTGGATGCTTTTTCCATGGAATCCATCTGTCTAAGAAAGGGTTCCAACACTAAGCAGATGGCACACTAGAAACTGGATTGGCACACTAGAAACTGGATTGTTCTTTGGAGGGTTTATTTAAAAGATGGCCATTTAGAGAAGATGAGTTTGGGGCAAGCTCAAAGATGATATATTTACAAGGGATTTACTATCTATAAGCTGAAAGGAATATGTGGGAAATATTAATTGCAATACTCATAAATAATCATGGGTATCCAAATACATTGCTTTCCATAGGCCTAGGAAATCCAGCTGAGAGCATATGTAATTGGAGTAGCAACAATAAAAAGAAGCAACAGAAAATAATGGAAATTCCAGTGAGAGTTTTTTGTGGGAGAAGTACCATCCTTTCCCCTCTCTTTGAAATTATGAAAATACTGAATTAAATCTTATTGACAGTTTGACTCCTATTTCTGATGATGAGACAGATGCTAAGAACTTAGTCACATCCTTTGTTTTCCTCAGTCTTCCCATTTGCTCCTGGTGTATACATTAAGAGGTGGTCTAAGTTTGGTCTACAGCTGGTCTTCCTCTTATTTTAACGTAATTCTAATAATGAAAGTCCTTTATACTTAGTAAGAGTCTTTACATTGTTTTATCAATATTTATGGCTCTTAACATGTCTTGTTGTTAGACGATAAAATCAAGGTTGAAAGACTTTTAGTAATTTATGCAAACCATTCACAATTACATAAATTTGCTAAACTCTTTTAAGAAGTAGTTTTGTTGTTGTTTGCCTATATAATAGGTATAACTGGTACCTAATGAGAATTCAGGTATTTATCAAAGCTAAATTGTTGTGTCTGCATCAAGGGAGCCCCAAACAAGACTGCCAAAAAGCCGGCATCCTATGAAAACATGCTGAGGCTTATTGATTACAAGTTAGCTAACTCTGACCACAATCAAACACGCCATCGCAGCGGGTTGGGGATGGTGGCCAAGAGGCTTCAGGGTAAGGGAATTTTAAAGGGGGAAAACCACAAGGCAGGGTGGCACAAACCTTGGTGTTTCAGAATTGGGTAAAAGTATATATCTTTTGAATTCATTAGTTGGGGTATAGGGAATTCAAAACAGTCAAATGAACGGTTAATTGGGTACCTACAAAGACATTTGAAGCAAGCAGATGTTGTTTGGACACCCTAGTGGGTCACTTTGACCAGGGCTGGTACTTCTTGGGAGTGTTTATGACTTTGCTGGCCTGCATCACCCTCCTTAGTTAGGTTCTGTCTAAAATGGAGTTCTTTTTGAAGATAGAGCTTGTTCTGCTCCTTCACAATCTTATTTATTTTTGGTTTATGAAATTCCTTAAAGGGCTTCTATTTTTAACAGAATTCTCAGTATTCTTCTCTAGGCCTAACACACACTAAACATTATTCCCTCTGTTGTGTGGTGATATTGTGTTTGTGTTTCAACAAATAAAGCTTCCCTGGAGATCAGAGTGCACAGTTAAGCCACTAACAGCCAGGGAGTGGTGGCTCACACCATTACTCCCAGGACTCAGGAGACAAAGGCAGAGGGATCTCTGTGAGTTTATGGACACATAAGAGAGCTTAGGATGTCTTATGTCTTATGTGTATGTACATTAGAAGTCCAATTCAGAAAAATGTACAAACATTTATATTTAGATTATAAACTTACTGTAAGGACATGCATATCCATAAAGATGAAAGAAATTCTAATCTATATTTGAATTTATTGCCTAAACAAAATACAAAAGGAAAAGAGCAAAGCAAGGGTTTTCTAATATAAATGTATTAGATTTACCTTAACTGGAGAAGGAATCTTTATGAAAAAATTACACTGTACAACTCACCTGAGCCTTAGCCTTCTACATAATAGATTGCATCCAGTTGTTATTTTTCTGTGTCTCTTTAAAATTTGAAAAATTCTTGTGTTTCTTGATATGGAGAAATTTGAATAGAAAAAAAAAAGCTGCAGAGTTCTCAGCTTGGTTGAATCTCCTGTTGCTCCCTGTCACTTCTGTGTAGTTCTTGGGGATAGCATTACAGAATTAATCCTCGGGTCTCTGAGTCCATCACAGCAGGAGGCAAATGACAGAACCACAATAGGGTCCACAACTATTGATGCCATATTTGGTCCCTTGCTTAAAGGAATGCATTTCACAGTAATCTTGCTCTGCTTTGAGGGAAACAGTTGTCCTGTGGGAGTGCACTGCAGCCAATGTAGAACTATCCTTTCCCAAACATTTATCCCTTAGAGTTGACATAGCACCTAGTGGTTGCTTTTGCTTGAGTTAAATGTTTTCTTCTACAAGCAGAAATCCAATGCACAGAAAGGTCTGTTTATGACAAGAGGCTGACAGATGAAAATGTGGGCACACACCTTTAATCCCAGCATTTGGAGGCATAGTTAGGTGAATCTCTGTGATTTATATGCCAGCCTTGTATATATAGGAAATTCCAGGACTGTTTCAAAAACTAAGAAAGAAAGAAAGAAAGAAAGAAAGAAAGAAAGAAGAAAGAAAGAGAAAAAAAGAAAGAAAGAAATTGGCAATGTACAGCTTCTGTGTTTGCACATGCAGGGTTATAGATTTCTCCCTACATTCTGCAATTCATCTGAGATGGGTAAGAACACATTTGCACTAATATTATTTTATTTAATTTTATATATTAAAGTAGGTTCTTAGAAATAAGATTGCTAAGCTACAATTAAAACGTAGATCTTAGTTTCAACACATAAATACATTAAAATGTCTGATACTCATTTTTATATGAAAGAGTTGAGAAAAAAAAACCCTGAAATCACAATTTCTATGGATCCTTGGAAAACTGAATCACAGGACTAACTGCCAACTGAAAGATTCATAAAGGTTCACAGATAGCATCGATAAATTCAACCAGAGTTGAACCTATTGGGACCAGAAGCAGTCAATCAGTATTAAAGGGAAATGTTGACAGGTGATTGGCATTTTCATAACTACTAGAATTAAAAGACTCAGGACCTACAACTTCAGAAGGCTGCTGTGCCTGCCAATGCAGCTGGCATCTGAAAAAGGCAATGGTTTCTTCTGGAGCCATGGCCTGGGAATGCAAACTTAGTTTGCCCCAGTGAATGAGGTAGCAACTTCATAATGTTTTTTTTTAATAGTAATGGTGTAAAGAAAGTCAGAAACCAATAATACACCTTTCAAATGCATTGTAGACCTCAGGAAGGCTCAGTGGAGCAAATTGGGAACATACCTTTCAAAGGCCTTGTATGTTATTTGAGGATAGTCTTAGATTTGATGGAATCTAGGAATCAGTATGTATTACAAGCAATTTATCTAATAGTCATATGGATATTAAGTCACATACAGGAGCAAGCAGTTAAGGGCTGTTGAGGAGCTAAAGATAGCTACAGATAATTTGGCTCTGGACCTAGACTATTCAACCCCTTTACATCATTAAAGTGCTAATGAATCAATCAATCAATCAACCCACATAGCGAGTCCTTTGCACAATATTCTTCATTTATTTTTAAAGCCAGGTCTTCATTTTGGTCCTTCTTTGAAGAACCCTACTAAATTTAAAACAAAAAATATCAAAAAGTTCCTTTAATTTCTGGGAGAGAAAAATGCAAAGTCGTTCTACATGGACAGGATGTAAGCCAGCGCTATGTCCTGCTCCCAGAGAAAATGGCTTCCACAGATTTCTCTGAAGTTGTGAGAGGCGGTATGTCTTACCCCAAGCCTTTCCAGCTATGCATTCCTTTGCCAAAGAATGGAAACATTGAAATAATGTGGATGAGATATTCTGATCAGTAGAGCCAGCACACCTCAGCCTCCAGAACTGTGGGAAATTAATCTCTGTTTCGTCGTGCAGGCATTGATAGTAACAAGACCCAATTCAGTACTGTTTGCAAAAAATTCACTTCACATATGATGATTTAAGAATGTAAGAAGTAAAGGAGTGTTTTCATTATTAAATTTCATACAGAGCAGATTTAAACAAGGGATATCACCAGGAATGAAAGCTATGATGAAGGAAAGCTAATTAAAAGGGTACAATTCTTCAAAATAGTTAATTATGCTTTTTCATAAAGCCATTAATTAGATTTCAACACACAAAGCAAACACTGACGGAACTTAAAGGACAATAGACAAAGTCACTATGGCAATATGAAAATTAAGATGCCCTGTTAGTTGCCAATAAATGAAGCAGGCAGAAAATCAATTAGAATATAGTTTATCTAAACAGCCCAATCAATCATGTTGATTTAATTGACATATGAATATCACATCCAAAAATTCAGAACACACATTTTCCTCAAACTTTCAGCAACATAAATGGCATTTTATATAAGAAAAATGCACTAAATTTAAAGATAAAAATCATACAAATATGATCTCAGACAAAAATGAAAGTCAAATCTATAATATAAATTTCAAAAATTTCCTTATATCAATGGGAAATCTATAATACTTACTAAAATTTAACTCAGAGAATAAATTTTAAAACCTTTCTTTAAACACTCTTTATAAATGAAAGTGAAATTTACCTTTTCAAAACTCATAGAATGTAGCAAAAAAATTCAAAGAAAATTTGTAGATGTAAATAAATTAGAATTAATTAATAATTAGTAAATAGATTTGAAAAGAAAAAAGGGTTGTCATAACTTTGATTCCCTTAAAAGCTCAGAGACAAGATATATTTTTATTCCTACAGCAAACAACCAAAACAATAAAAATCCTTGCTTAAATCAATGCAGGTTAAAATACTGGAGAAAATCAGAAACACCATAGCAATTCATTTGCTATTTGATGTACAAAATCATTAAAACCCTGATAAGCCGAGGGATAAGTGTGGAGTAGACACAGATGAGCCATGTAAACGTGATAGTGGAGAATTCTTTATTGATTTCCTGCACATGAACAGGAGAGCGAAGGAATCAAGTTCTATAACAGAATAAATGTCCTCAACCTCTGGAGGAGGCAGGCGACCCCTGGTGACTGCAATGGGGGAGTAGACAATGTGCAGACTCCATCACTATTAAAGTAGACGAGGGAGATCTAAAGCGTTCAAAAGAAAAAGGATAAGAAAACAGAACAGTTCCTCAGTAAACGCGGATACATAGTTAAAGAAGATATAGGAAATTTACTGAACCTCAAGAAAGCAGAGTGTCCTTCCCAGTTCAGTCACTAGCTAATACCCAACCATTTATTACATCACAAGCCCAATGATATCAATCTCCCTCATTAATAAATTTGCAGAATTTAGTACTACAGGATTAAGTAAAACAATATGCAAATCTGGCAAGATATAATATCTTAATAAAATTCTACTTACCTTGAAATAATCATCAGATTCAAATGTAAAATTTCAAAACTACATTTATAATTCCTTTGATTATATCATTTTGACTTTTCTTTTATGATTTTGTTAATTTGTATATTAATGATGCTAGCATTTCATGCATAATTTATATGAATAATGTTTCTTCAGTCTGTCGGTTTACTTAATTTTACATTTTCATATTTAACCACAATCCATTTCATCTTTTATTTTTTAAATAAAGTAAAAGGTCTCTCTTTTAATAACCACCACAGTTTTCTCTCTAGTTCTCCAAGAGGAAGAATCAACTGGCATGCCTGATCTCCCTGCATAAATGGTTTTCAGGTTACCTGGATCGCTATGGCCTTAAATTGATTTTGTAGATTATCTGATTTTTTCTCATTGTTAGCTGTTAAGTGGAAGAACTGATAGTAGTCATTGATTACATATTATATATGTATATAAATCTTCAACCACGTGCTGATTGCTGTTCTCAGTGGGATATTTTGGTCGGAATAGAATTAAGTCTCTGTCAAGTTGAAGCTTGGTATTCACTCCTTACGTGATGGCTGTGTATTGAATGAGACCTAGTGTATCCGGTGTTTCTTTCTTCTCTTCTCAACAGTAATGACTTTGTGATGACCATCTAAATGACACATGCACATGTAAAACAGTTTATCATTTTTTTTTAATTTGGAAGGATAATAAAACAATATCGCAGCACACTGTCAATATCATTTAACTCTCTACATTCTGACAAAGTGTCCACAATGTTTTGACTAAAATTAGAACATTAATGGCCGTGGATATTTTTAAATTATTTGGAAATATCTGTACTTGGATACAGGGTTCAGATTCTATTTTAAAATAATTTATTTTTATTGTATGTGTTTTGCCTGTATGATGGTATCAGAATCTCTGGAACTGGAGTTATAGACAGTTGTGATCTGCCATGTGGGGGCTGGGAATTGAACCCAGGTCCTCGGGAGAAGCACTTAGTGCTCTTAATCACAGAACCATCTCTCCAGCTCCAGGTTTCATATTCTAATGAATACTTTCAGAACAGCAACCTTAGAATGAAATTCCCCTATCATTTTATATTATTATACATTGAGTACAAATAGAAAAAGGGACTCCACCCATCAGACAAAGCTAATAAATTTTTCTTCCCAGCAAAGCAAGAATTATGAAGTGCAAAGGCTAAAGATGTACTGAACTGAGATTTTAGATTTGGAGTGTAATTTCAAAACAAGAGAAGACCTTTCTCTTACAAAGCATATTTTTACAGATGGGAATGCAAGAGCTCAGAGAGTTCAAGTGATGTGTTCAAGGTTTCAGAGAGAAACTGATGCAACGTAGTGATCTCTGAGATCAGACTTTACATTTCTGTGGTCAGATGTTCCTTGTCTCATTATTTTAAAGAAATCGCAGATTTTGTTTGACTGCTTTCCAAAGTGGTTGCACAAGTTTGCATTCCCACCAGCAATGGATGAGTGTACCCCTTTCTCCACAACCTCTCCAACAAAGGCTATCATTGGTGGACATTGAGCCTATAATTAGTGATCCCAGAGAAGCTAAATAAGGAGAACCCAAAGAAAAACATATAGGCATCCTCCTGAATATTAACCTTCAGCAAGCGATGAAAGGAGACAGAGACAGAGACCCACATTGGAGCACAGGACTGAATTCTCAAGGTCCAAATCAGGAGCAGAAGGAGAGAGAGCACGAGCAAGGAACTCAGGACCATGAGGGGTGCACCCACACACTGAGACAATGGGGATGTTCTACTGGGAACTCACCAAGACCAGCTGGCCTGGGTCTGGAAAAGCCTGGGATAAAACCGGACTCTCTGAACATAACGGACAATGAGGACTACTGAGAACTCAAGAACAATGGCACTGGGTTTCTCATCCTATTGCACGTACTGGCTTTGTGGGAGCCTAGGCAGTTTGGATGCTCAACTTACTAGACCTGGATGGAGGTGGGGGGTTCCTTGGACTTCCCACAGGACAGGGAACCCTGATTGCTTTTCGGGCTGAGCGGGGGGACTTAATTAGGGGAGGGGGAGGGAAATGGGAGGAGGTGGCTGGGAAGAGACAGAAATCTTTAATAAATAAATAAATTAAAAAAAATGAAACTATTCATTTGTTTTTGAGATTTTCGTTACACCATCTATCATCCTTTTCTTCCCTCCATACTCTCCTATACGCCCTTCCTGCTCTCCTTCAAATTCATGCCCCCTTTTCACTAATTGTTATCATATGCAAATATGCATATGTGTATATATGCAGTTCAAATAGTAAATGTCTGTCAAAGAATTTCAAAGATGAAAAAAATTGTTTAATAACTGATATAGAAGGTACAGGCCATGAAAGTAAGTAGAAAGGTAAGCTACCCACTTGCCTGTAAAATTCTCACACTGCATCTGTTCAGGTCCTAAAGATCCAGCAGTCTGATGCCCCTTCCTAGGCCACCCTCACAAGTGTGTCCCTGCCCCTGCCTCCAGAGGACTTCCACCATTCACATTCTGATCAAGCCAGTCTGAAGAACAGCCTCCAACTCAGGTGGAAACCCTCTGCTGTAGCAGAGATTTCTCTGACTGCTAGAACTCCAGGCCAAAAAGAGCAGAAGACCAAAGTGGAAACAGAAACCAAAGACATAACACCCATTTAACAAAGCCCAACTCAGAAATTTGCACCTGGAACTATAATCACTCCAAACCAATATGACTAGACACCAGTGTAAGATTATAATCAAAAAGTAAAACCAAAAGAAGGGAAACCCATGCACACATGCACACACACACACATGCACACACACACATGCACACACACACATGCACACACACACATGCATACACACACACCACCGCCACCACAAATAACAATAATGAAGTAGCAGGAATTAACAATCATTAATATCTTTCAACGTCAATGGATTCATTCCTTCAATCAGAAGACACAGACTAATAGAATAAAATGAAAACAAGATCTATCCTTCTGCTGTGTTTAAGAAACACACATCAACATCAAAGATAGACATTATTATCTCCGAGTAAAGGGTTGGAGAAAGATTTTTTCAGAGAAATATACCTAAGAAACTGATGGGTAGCTATTCTAATATCTAACAAAATAGACTCTAAGTCAAAGCCAAAATTAACCAAAAGAGATGGGAAAACACTTCATACTTACCAAAGGAAAAATCTACCAAGATGAGTCTCAATATTTCTAAAGCTTAAATCACATATCAAAACTCACAAATTAATAGTGGGAGACTTCAATGCCACTCTCTGACCAATTAACAGGTCATTAAAACAAAAGCTAAACAGAAAAATCCTGGAGCTGACAGACATAATCAACCATATTTACCTACAAGTATCTACAGAACATTTCACCCAAGCACAAAAGAAAGTAGATTTTTCTCAGTACCTCCTGAAACTTTCTCCAAAATTGACCAGATACGTAGTCTCAAAAGATAAATGAAAAGTGAAATAACCCCTTGCCTGCCATCAACCCAAATTAAAATGGATTTCAACAACAGAAACAGCAGAAAGCCTACAAAGTCAAGGAAACTGAACAATTCTCTGCTGAGTGACTACTGGGTCACAGCAGAAGTAAAGAAAGCAATTAAAGAGTTTTTAGAATTCACTGGAAATGAGTGCCCCACATACTCAAACTAATGAAACACCATGAAAGCTGTGCTGAGAGGAAAGATAGTTCATAGCACCAAGAGCCGACATCAAGAAATTGGAGCAATCTTACACTAGCAACTTAGCAGCCCACCTGAAAACTCTAGAACAACAAAAAACAAAACAAATCAAATAAGCCAGCATACCCAAGAGCAGTTAGATGTCAGGAAATAATCAAACTGAAGGGTAAAATCAATAAAATAGAAACAAAGAGAACAATACAAGGAATAAATGAAACAAAGACTAGGTTCTTTCAGAAAACCCTCACACAAACTAAAGGACAGCGAAAGGATATTCAAATTAGCAAAATAAAAGAAAAGAGGGACAGAATAACAGATATCTAGGAGGTCCAAAGAATCATGAGGTCATCCTTTACAAACAAACGCTCCACAAAAATGGAAAATGTAAAAGAAATAAACAGTTTTCTCAGTAGATAATACTTACTAAATTTAAACCAAGATCACATTTGTTGGGATTAATGAGTTCTGGCCTTCCGCTGCTTTTCCCTCCTAGAACCTAGAGGGAAATATAAGTTACTAGAAGCTGTGTTTAGCTTAGGGGATCAGAGGATGGAATTATCACCTGTTGGACATTGACTGCAGTGTATTTAAGTCTACATGGTGTTAATAAAGAGGGGCTTTGGTATCAGTGTTTAAAGGTCTGTGTGTCGGTCTGTCTCTGCTTGTGTATTCTCAAGCTCCAGCCCCTTCCCTGAAGCTCGCGAAGTGGGATCTAGCGCACAGAGCACAGACCGTGGCCTCGGTACGCGACAATTGGAGGTCCCTCGTGATATTGGGAAAGGGAACACTGAGAGGTCGCCCTTGGAAGCCTTGTCGAGAGAGGTAAGCAGATAGCTTCGTTCCTGGCCAACGGAGACACACAGAGGAGTAAAGATGGGAGGTATCTTTCCTTGGTTCAGAAAAGAGTTGGACGATAGGGAGGAGTTTGATGATTTAGAGCTAGTGGAGGATAGTGAGGGGGATTCATCAGAAGAAGGGGAGGAGATTATACGTGAGGAATTAAAAAATCTCTTTAGAAAGCTGAGAAAACGTAGAGCAAAAAAAAAAAAAAAACAAAAACAAAAAAAAAAACAAACTCACATCCAACTCCCTCGGCCCCACCGGCTCATGGTGATGAAGGTTGGTGGTCTCAGTTAGGTAGGAGCTCTGGCATTGAACAAAACAAGGGAGTTTATTTCCATCCTGTACACATGGTTGCACCGGTGATGGAGGTGCCAGACACCAACAACCCAGGGGAAATAATTCACATTTTGCAATAAAATTTAAAATGAAACAATTAAAGGAAACTGTAGCTGTATATGGGGCTCAAGCACCTTTCACGTTGGCCATGGTAGAATCTTTCTCTGCTATGAATTTAACACCAAGTGATTGGCAGCAATTATGTTGTGCTGTCTTATCTGGGTGAGATTATCTCCTATGGCGAGGGGAATATCAGGAAAATTGTAAGCAAACGGCCCAGTTAAATGCTCTAGCGGGTCAAGCTCAACGTAATTTAGATATGTTAAGTGGGGCTCGGGCTTATGCTGATTTACAGCAACAAATTCTTTGTGATCCTGGAGTATTCGTCCAAATAGCTGTAGCTGCCACTAAAGCGTGGAAGGCCCTACCTAACAAAGCAGCTGGGGATCAATTATCAAAAGTTCTACAAGGACCATCTGAACCATTCCAAGATTATGTAGATAGACTGTTACAAATAGCAGGTAGATTGTTTGGAGATGAGACAACAGCCATGCCTACAATAGAGGAACTTGCATTTGAAAATTCCAATAGATATTGTAAGGAAGCATTATGCCCACACAAAACAAAAAGTTTAAATGATTATATCAGGATATGCAGAGATACAGATGGGAATTTCCTTTAAGGCCAGGTTATAGCGGCAGCTATTCAATCTCGGAGAAACATGAGAGGACTGAGAGAGAAGGCCGGAGGACATAATTGTTTTAATTGCGGAACTCGTGGTCATTTTCGAAAGGAATGCCCACAGCTGATGATGAAGGGAAGGAGGAAACTTTGCAATATTAAACAATTTGAATAGACCTACTACCCCTAAGGAAATAGGAAAGCTCCCCTTCCAAAAACCCCAAAGACCAAAAACCAAAAACCAAAGAACCACCAACAACAGTAAAAACAGGGCCAAATGGTTTCAGCACAAAATTTCCCCAGCTTTTCAAGAAGTGCTAATGCCAATATGCCTCAAATTATTCTACAAAATAGAAACAGAAACAACATTGCCAATTTCTTTTAATGAGGTTGTAGTCACCCAAATACCCAAACCATACAAAAATACAACAAAAAAGTGAATCGCAGATCAGTTTCTCTCATGAACTTTGATGTGAAAATATTCAATAAAATACTTGCAAATCAAAACAAAAAAAATCCAAGAACAAATCAAAGAGCTCACTTACCGTGATCACGTGAGCTTCATCTGAGAGACACAGGGACGGTTCAGCATAAGTAGATCTGTCAGTGTAATTCATTATATAAACAAACTGAAAGAAAAAACATAATCATCCCACTGAATGTTGAAAAAGTCTTTGACAAAATCTAACACCTTTTCATGATAACAGTTTTGAAGAGATCAGGGGTACAAGGGACATTCTTAAATATAATAAAGGCAACTAACAGAAAGCCTACAGCCAACATCGAATTAAATGGAGAGAATCTCAAAGCAATTCCACTAAAATCAGGAATAAGTTAAAGCTGTCCACTCTTTCCATATCTTTTCAATATAAAACTTGAAGTCCTAGCTATAATAATAAGACATCTGAAGTAAATCAAGAAGATACAAATGGGAAATGAGGAAATCAAGGTATCAGTATTTGCAGATGACGAAAGTATTTGTAACTAATCTAAATATTCTACCAAGAAACTCCTACAGGTGATAAACAGCCACCTATAGGTGGTTAGATATAGGATTAACTAAAAAAAATTCCTATATACAAATGACAATTACTGAGAAAGAAATCAGAGAAACAATACCCTTCACAATAGCTGCTAATCATATGTTATCTTGGAGTAACTCGAACCAAGCAAGTGAAAGTCTTAAATGATAACTTCAAGTCTTTGAAGAAAGAAATTGGGGAACACATTGGAAGATGAAAAGAACACCAATACTCACAGATCTGTAGGAATAACATAGTAAAAATTAGCCATCCTAACAAAATATATCTACATGTTCAATGCAATCCGCATCAAGAAAAAAATATTTCAAAACAATTTTTTACGGACTTTTAAAGAACAATACTCAACTTCATATGGAAAAACAAAAAACCCAGGATAGTTAAAACATTCCAGTACAATGAAAGGACATCTGGAAGTATCACCATCCTTGATTTCAGCTGTGCCACAGAGCTTTGGTTTTTTTTAAAAAAAAAAAAAACTTCCATGTTGTATTGGCATAAAAATATACAGGATAATCCATGGAATGGAATTAAATACCCATACATAAACATAAGTCCACAAACGTATAGATACTTGATTTTTTAATCAGAAATATACAATGGAAAGAATAAAGAAGCCAGGAGCGTACACAGTATGTGTGTGTGTGTGTGTGTGTGTGTGTGTGTGTGTGTGTGTGTGTGTATATATATATATATATATATATGGATGTATATATACATAAATAAATAACTACATAGAATAACTTAATTTTCAGAGTGATAAAATAAAATGTGGCCCTTTACTAAGCATTCATGTAATCATATGATAGACTAAATATAAAAATAAACAAACAAAATAATGAAGTCACCTGAAGAAAGCTTAAGAAGCTCTATCATTAAATTGGAATAGGGAGAAATTTACCAGGACAAAATAAACAATATAGAACAAAAGAAAATTTAATACATTACACTTTATAATATTTAATAATCACATACTGAAGAAACATCCAAAATAGCTTATTATTTCTTACCCTACATTTCTCCTTGTCCAAATTTGTTTACTTTTCTTTCCCTGGATGTCCCTGGGTTCTATTTGCCCTTTGCCAAAGAAAACACTGGGAAGAGCTGAGTGGACATGGAAACACGCGCTGTCAGATGCTGTGGGTCAATTTCCTTCATTTGACCATGCTGTCCTCACTGCTGGGCACTTCCTATAAAGACAATGCCCTTAGCTGTTGGATGGAAACTCTCGCAAGTACTTGAGATCTGTGTTTTCCCTACGGCAACAGTCTCTCATCTGAATAACATTTCCCTCCTTCTAAAACTGCTTGTTTTTATTTGATGCTACTCTCTTAAAAGTACCTATATGAAACTAAAAAATAATTCATAACCCTGGAAAATATTTCCAGAGCACGCACGTGATAGGTAAAATCAGGAAAATTGATAGCTGCTGCATAACCCAGTAAAAAAGAAAAATAGTGTAATAGACATGAAGAAAACCTCAGCCAGATAGCTTACAAAAAAAGAGAGAGAAAGAGAAAAAAAGATACATGACAAATGAGTATATAAAAGTAGTGTAAATGTTCCATAGTCAAATTACGTTTATGTCCTCTGAACATAACACAACAGGCATTAAACTTTCTGACAAAGTGAATTAGGGCAGGGAGATTTTATTGTGGCTCACAGTTTGTGGGTAAGGTACGTTATTACGAGAAGCAATCATAGCAGGGGCACAGGGGTCATGTTGCATCTGAAGCCAGTAAGCAAAGGGAGATAAATGGTGCTGCTCACTGGGGCCCCATCTGATGGACAGATGGGGCCGTTCATATTCGCCATCTTCAGGTAATCTTTTCTAGAGGTATGTTTCCATGGTGATTCTAAATTCAGCCATGTAGGGAATTCAGATTAGCAATCACAAGGACTTAGTGCAGTTATTATTCTATATTTCTGTAGCTAGAGACCCTGATACTACGTCACAGGTGTAAAAATTGACTTTTAGGCGAATTGTGCTGCTTTCATTAGGACACATGGAAGATACATGAGTATATTTTATTATTTTCATTTTCTGCCCCTTTAATTTCTCTCTCTCTCTCTCTCTCTCTCTCTCTCTCTCTCTCTCTCTCTCTCTCTCTCTGTGTGTGTGTGTGTGTGTGTGCATGGAAATTGAACCTATGGCCTTGTGCATGACAGGCAAGCACTCCACCACTGAGCTACAGCACCATCCTTCTATTAATTTATTAGACTGCTGGACATAGTTCTTCATGGTTTAGGAAAAGGCACACCACCCCTTTGCTGGATACAGAATGAGAGCTTTCCTCGGCTTCTAGAAGGTGCTCACAGGGCTTTTCCCTCCCCCTATCTTCAGTTTAGAAACTCTGTGCCATTTGTCTCTCTGGCTTTCACATTCCCTTCCTCTCCAGGCATTGTCTTGTCTTTTATTCCTCGGAAGAAGTTGGTGAGTTTGAAGGACATCTTGATGCATTTTGTATTTCATTGTTGATTTTAAAAAATAAACACATTTAGGTAAGATATGTTAAAGTAAAACAAACTCTGATTATCAATCATGCTAACTGGAATGTCTGGACAGTGTCATGAATACAGACTTGGTGAAAAATCATAATGAATGCATACTTAAGCATCATAAAACATCAATTAAAATAACAAGTTATAGCTCTGTAATAATATTAAGAAACAAATATAGTAAACATAACTACAAATAAGCATTATAAAAACCACATTGAATATAAGTTTAAGCATCATAAAATACCAATTAAAATAATAAGCGATATCTTTGTAAGAATATTAAGAAACAAACATATTAAGAATAAATACAAATAACTATTATTACTGCTGATATTTTCATGTGATTATTAATATGAAAAATAGTATAAAATAAAAGAATATATACATATATATTAATTTTAGTGACAATGAAGTTTGAGCTGTTAACAAAAATATGAAACATTTTATTTGGTTTCTATAAAATGTGTCAAATGCTACTTTGAAAACTACAAATTCAGTAGTGTATTAAAAAGGGTGATGAACTTTTACATTACTTTGTAAGACACAAAGCAAACACATTTATCCTGTATTGTAAACAACAGGAAACAAAGTATCAAGAAAGAAATATAAAAATGCACTGAGAATGTAAAACAAGGTGACAGAGTTAAGACACAGACCATAACACTAGCGTGAGTAAAGGAAATTGCTTTGAACTCTTTGTGATTCAGAAGGAAGTGTTCCTAATGAATTATAAAAACTCTACCAAGTTTTAAAACATCTAAAATCGCAGAGCCACCTTTCATGTAAATTCATAAGTGAAGATTTATTATGCATAGGCACACAGAAAGCAAGTGAGCATGAGACTGTTCATGGAAAACAGTGAGCATGTTAAGGCAAAAATAGAGAGGCTTCTGCTTTTACTTTGACTGTGACAGTGTCAATCAAAAATTATTAAAACCCCATGCTTTCTTTAATGTGATATTAAATCACAGAATATTAGGTAAGGCATAGAATATTACATAAGTTATAGATCACACAAATAAACATACACGTATTTAGAAAGGTAGGAACGTTAAAATTTAAATTCATATTTATAAATCAAAGCTTTTTGTAGAAGTTATTACTTATTAATATTCATGAGATATTTGGGGAAAATATGTTCTTACTTGGTGAAAAAGACCCAGTATTTCTGAAATGGAAGAATTATATGTTCACTTTCTTTAAAACAAAAAAAATGGAGAGATATTTATTATGCTTATTTTGAAATATCTTAACAAATAAATTTAAACCTAAAATATAAATATAAAATTTAGTCACTGAATTCAACTCAACAAAATTGAGATCGTATCAGTGCCTTTGCTTTGCTCTCACCCTAATTTCCAGGCTTTTCTTTCTATGATCAAAAGTCTTTTGGTAAACACAGAGAAGAGTATATTTATATGAGGTGTTCATGTGAGGTGTTGTGCGGTTGTTGATCAAAGTTAATCCAAGCAAATGACATTACAGTAGCAACTCAGGAAATGGAAATCAGCTCCAAACATCTGCGAGCTGCTGTTAGATCTGTATGTGTTTCCAAATGGTGTAGGAGAAGAAGTAAATGAAGAGTTGGTCCTGAGGAAAAAGAATACAGGACACTGGAGGGCAGAGGTGAGAAGAGAGCATCTAGATAAAATGGGCAACGTTGCTGCTTTTCCTGCTGAGAACTGCCTGCATACACCTTGTGACCAGCAGTCCATCAGTGCCCAAAAGATCTTCCGTTGATTGACTCTTGCCACTTGTTCCCAGTTGACCATGTGCCAGTGGAAGATCACACACTCAGCAATATTTGGCAAAACCAATTGGTCTTTATTGGCTGGGAAATTAAGACATTACATGACCTGGCTAGGGAAGGGGGTGGGTCTGGGAAGAGTTGAGGAAGAAAAGTGAATATTACCAAAACAGGCTTTATGAAATTATCAGAGAACTAATGAATATATTTTTAACAATAAAATGTAAAAAGATTCCTATTGTGTACAGGGAACATAATATAATAATCAGAATAAAGGCTAAATAGTGTGGAAAAGCTGAAGAAGATAACACAAAAATATTCAGCAGATGAAAGTGTTTATTCAAAAGTAGGACTTCGCTTCTCATCCACATATATGCAAATATGCCCCACCTAGACACACAGCCTTCTGAAATAGAAATCAAAGACATGATTTGTATTAGAAAGTGGTGAGCTGAAATTTACAAAGGATTTGGCTCAGAGTAACTCAACAAAAATGTTTCATATTTCTCATTGAAAATTTAGGTTTTGGGGCTGGGATGGCTCAGCAGAAAAAGGTGCTTGCCACCATGACTGAAGGGAGTTTACATGCACACAAACACATAGAGAGAAAATAAATAGGAAAAAAAGCCACATTTTTTATTTTTTTTTTTTTTTTATTTTAATTTATTTATTTATTAAGAATTTCTGCCTCGTCCCCACAACCGCTTCCCATTTCCCTCCCCCTCCCCCGATCAAGTCCCCCCCCCCTCATCTGCTCGAAGAGCAATCAGGGTTCCCTGACCTGTGGGAAGCCCAAGGACTGCCCACCTCTATCCAGGTCTCCTAAGGTGAGCATTCAAACTGCCTAGGCTCCCATAAAGCCAGTACGTGCAGTTGGATCAAAAACCCACTGCAATTGTTCTTGAGTTCTCAGTATTCCTCATTGTCCGCTATGTTCAGCTAGTCTGGATTTATCCCATGCTTTTAAAAAGGCTATTAAGTACATAATGACTGATGAAGTGGTTACTGCTATCAAAAATGTCTGGAGCCTGTTCCTCATCATGAGCATTATGGATACTAAAGTGGACTGGGTATGGTAACACACATCTGTACCCCCAAGTATTTAGGGAGCTGTGACAGGCCACCACGAGCACCTCAATGAAATGCTATCTCAAAATAAGGAAGGTTCGGGGATGTAGCTCAGTCGTAGAGTGCTTGTCTAGCATATACAAGGTCCTGGTTTCAACGTTCTACATCAGAAACAAACAATTGCAGAACAAAATCAAAGAGCACGATTTAATATAAAGATAAAAATTATGAGGTGATTTGACATGTCAGTCAAGGAATACAATTGGTGGACTCACGGTGAACTCTTAGAAGAATGACAATAACCATACTGATAAGAAAGAAATATTTTCACAAGTTAAAGAAATTCATCACTTGGTGGAATCAAAACACTCACATACTTCTAGAAAGAAGAGAGGAACAAAGGATACTTTCAGGCATCTCAGAAATTATCACTGAGTGACTGCAATGGAAACATGTTTATCTGCGAACCAAGGACTAGGAAAAGTACTAGAGTATGCAAGCCTTGGGAAAAATGAGAAGATAATATAATAAAAGAGTGCCCATTACCATAAGATATTCAGAACTCTTACCTGTACCACGAAGCTCCATGTATTTTCCCAATGGAAACTTGAAATCCTTTAGCGTTCTTTCTTAAGGAATATATAGTGATGGGGTAAGATATTTCTAAGTCTTTTCTATGGATTTCCCAAAGCTGTCTGGAATCAGTCTATTAACTACTTCTTCCAAGTCATTTGTCTGTATGTCATGGATATGATTTCCAACATTTTTCATGTCTCGTAGGCCTGTTGGTGGTGCCCTGTATCTCAGTGTTAGAAGTTCAATAAAATCAACAGAAAACAGATAAAGCAAAGAGCCACTGGTTGTCTTGACATCAGTAGGAGCCTCAATCATATTCCAACATGTTTTGACCATGGAACACACTTTGTTCTCAGATATATTCATGCCATGGAAGTTAGTCAGGCAGTTTTTGTACTGATATCCTGTGCATTTAAGTTATATTTAGAAAATCAGATCCTTGCCATTCTTTACATCTGCAAATAGGTTTTGACAAGCCTTTCTATTCATTGTATTTTATTTTTCTTACTTTAATTAAAATCCATATGTGCATATAAAGTGTTTGGATACAATACAGCTCCCATTCCTTCTCCTACAAATTTCTTCTATATCACTTCTAATTCCCCCATCTTCAAGAGAATCCAGTATACCTTGAATACAAAGTAAATTCAATTCATCTGAATATATATTTTATACTAATTAAATAAGTTATAATTAAAGCAACTACTTAGAGTTTTGAGAAAATATGATAGAATTTCTTTTGATATGTGATCAATGCTCAGAAATATTAGTTGTTTATATACTGTTAAAAATTTTTAATTTTTTTATGAACATGCTTAGGAATTCTCCATGATAAAGCCATCGATTCACTGAGAAAACAAATATTTAAGTTTTCATGAGAAATGATGGTATGATAACCTGCTTTCATTTTATTATAATAAAATTTCTTAGATTTTGCATTTGAAATCGTTCCCACAGCTCTGGTGGCAGGAAGTCCTAGATCAAGGATATGACTGCTCTGTCTGGTTAAGTGTTTATGGATAGCATCTCCTCCTGTGACCTACTATGATAGGAAAAGAGACTCTCTTAGCCAGCTTTTAATTCTCTTGCTTCAGGGCCTAAGAAGAAGCAATCTAATAAATAACATCTTTATATTTCTGATTTCAGTCCGGCTTTAAAAGCTGTTCAGATGCATGAAGTAAATCATTCATGGTTCTCCAAGAATGGTGTTTCAGAAGTCTTCCCCATCTCCTTGCTCTGTTTTAGCATGTCTAGTCCTTCAGATTATCCCAGCCTGAGGAATTTTGTCTCAGCCAAAGTAATACATAGGAACTATGAACACTAGCTGAAAAGTACCCATTCTGACCAAACGGTGATGGGAGGAATCCGAGTAGCAGTAGTCAGTCTTACAGAAAGTGAAGCGCTGGTTTCAGACAACACATTCATACATTGTGAGAGTAATTGAGATCTGCCAGATATAGATGAGGACAATTCATAAGCCAGCAGTCTGGTAGATCTGTCTGGTAGTACTCAGTGTTTTGCTACCGTTTATTAAAGTGAAACTCACCAACTTTCTCAGAAGAATTCTGCAATCTGAAATGCTAATTTTGTAAAGTTGGAAGCATTCTGGGGTCACTGAGGTTGCCCTATGTCTCTCAATGTGCAGGTCCTATCACATATATTTGTTTATTAGGAAGACAAACATAAGAATTGATTTCACATTAGAAGGTAAATGATACATACCTATTATTTGACATTTATTTATGCAAATATAAAATGAGGGATCTGTCAAGTTATTTTCCAGACTGATATACTTTCTTTTCTACTTATCATCCTAGAGTTGAGAAACCCCAAGACTGACTGCAGGAAATTTCTGCTTTTTGTTTTTTCCTTTTTTTCTAATATTTTATACAAATGTTTCCTTAAATTTGAAAATACATTTTGAAATTTCAGTATATACTTGCATGCGTTTGCCTCTGGGAATTTTAGACAGATTGATGTATAATGTATATAGAAGCCCAGGGAGGTATTATTGTGGCACTCTTTCTGTCATATTAGCTGTCATAGGCATTGATTTCCATGAAAATATGGTTATTGTCTAGTATGGGAAATAGTTTTAATACTGTTGTTCCTCATGTGAAGAAAGTCATCATTTTATTCCCATAGACTTATAACATGCAGATCATGGGTAGAGAAATAGAGATTTTCATCACAGTGTGCAGGAAGAATTAGTTCAGATGTCCTCAGGTCCAATTCCACTATATTCTTAAATCTCTTTTGCATAGAGAGCAGGTTCTTCTTACAGAGGTCAGAGATGGAGGTATAAATCCCACATAGTGTTTAAGTAATGCCTTGGAGGGAACTGTATTGAAATAGAAGCAGTTGTGCAGAAATAACACTCTCAGCTATGTGTGAAAGAGTGAATTTATTCCCTCTCTAAAGCTTTAATTTTTAAAAAATGAGATAAAAGAAAGAGCAGGATACTTGTCAAAAATGATGAATTGGAGGACTCGAAAATAAGAGTGTAAGAAAAGAAACTTGTCAATTTCAAGCAAAATTTAGCACTCTATTGAGTCCTTTAGAGTATCCTCACAAAGGCTGTACCTAGTTTGTCTGGATTCTAGTGACGTGGAAACAATAGAGATTTCTTGCTACTAGACTGGAAGAGCTATCTGCATGGGACTTCCTATTTCGGAATGATTTTTGGTGATGTGCTTTGAACATATGAATCCCTAAGATCAATATGCTGCCTAAAGGAGCAAAGACAGTCTCCCATTTCATTCTCAGGTTTCATTTTCGCTTCCATATATGATTTTTTTCTGGCATCCAGATGGGAGACTTTCCCACAAATGCAGAGTACAGGCATTCTGTTCACTGAACAGAAGCCAGAAGCAGTCTCAGAGCATTCCAGATGCTGTATCTTAAGGACAATTTGTTTTTGAACAAAAATCCATAATTTCCTCTCTACCTAATTAAACCTAGCAAGAGACAACCCAAACCATAACCATATATCTACAGTGCACTGATATCTATAGGTCCCCATGAGAACTCAATTTATACATATTATTCATCATTAAAATCTTGGTTTTCTTTTTCTTGGTCTCTCTCTCTCTCTCTCTCTCTCTCTCTCTCTCTCTCTCTCTGTATCTGTGTATGTACATATGCATGTGTTCATGTATGTGCACACCCATACTGTCCAATGTCCAGGCAACACTTCAAGTCATGTTCATCTAGTCTGAGTCTTATGAACTTCCTCCTTTCTAGCCCTCCATTTACTTACTCTGGTCATGTGATGTAGAGATTTCCCTATTCATTCCTCTATAGAGGAGTCCCTCCGTATATAAACAAATCCAGAAATTGTTACAGCAATCTCTGTAATCTAATGGGAACCAGATAATCTGACATAAATTTTAACATTTTTCTTTTATAATTTTCAAATATGCTTTATTGCAGTTTTATGTTTCCTGTACAATGACAGTAAAACATTTTCTCTACATCATCCTTTTCTAGAATATTCTCCAGCTTTATCTTTAGTCTTTAATATATACTTCATGATGCCTTGATAAATTTAAATTCTGTTTCATCTGAGTTTCTACCAGACTTTCTCTCAACCACTATGAGTGCTAAAATCTCCCATTTTCTGATTTTATGAAAAAATACTTAGATTGAGGACTCGTTACTTTATTGCCATGTATATGCTCAGTTTATAGTCTATGTAGATGCATGTTAGATATTTAGTAGTTATTCATACAATTTAATAAGTATTCCTACTGTGTTTGTTTTAGAGGAAAATTGTATAACTTTATTAACTGCTTGAGCCTGCTATTCTGGAAGGATGAAATGGAGGACTTGTGTTTGAAATTATGACATGAATATATAATTATTCCACTTACATAAAATACATCCTATGTAGTAACATTATTGAAAGTATCAATAAGGGACTGAATAATTGGTAAGGCACACAACTTGGAAAGAGAAAGATTATCTCCCTAAAGACTTCACCTCCATAGACAATAAGAGTTGCAGCTATAATTCCTGTCAAGTAACAGAAACTACATGTGAAAAGTTCTTACATACATTTTAAAAAAGTTATTTCACGAGTCTACAAAAATACCAATAAAATAGTAGAGCCTGCACCTCGTGGTCAATGTCTTACTCGGCAGTTAAAGGGTGCTGAGCCACAAACTCAATTCATCTAAATCCAGAAATCGTGATTCTTCCTTTAAACCATGTTCTAAGAATCCACATATTGAGTTATGTGTTTCCTGAAACGTTACATATTCCTCACACGTGAGTTACGAGAGAAAAGTATTGATGAGTACCTGGATGTGAGCAAGTGGTGGGAGGAAGAGGGTGAACATATCAGCATGACACTCCAGTAAGGAGGTAAAATAGATGTCTAACTGGCAGAGTGAACTTCAATTAAAAACATCATAAAGAAAGTAGATGATTTTATTAAGATTATTTTGTAAGAGCTTGGATGAATTTTGACTGCCCCATTTTTTTAATCCTATATGTAATCTGTTTAAGTTTTTTTTAATTCACATATCATTGAGTGTTTATCAAAAAACACTTCAGATTCAAAATATTCCATTTAAGTTAGTTTTTTGAAATAATTTAATGCAATTTCTTGTCAGCCAAATGGACAATACAATCTTGATACATCTGAAGGAATAGCTTTATATATCTAAAATCATCTACAAGAGCATAATCAGGGGGAAGAATCAGTTTTTAAACCCTGCAGATTGTATTCATCAATGCATATGCCAGAAATATATTAAGTTGATATTAAGATCACTGAATAAGGCAGTTTCATTATGCTGGAACATTTAAAGCAATAAGATGTCTCTAACTATGCAAATCTAGGGAGTAGCTAATAAGTGCAGTAAGCTTATAGAGAAGAGTCCTTAGTGAGTTGTATAACATAGTAAAGCTATTCAGAAATGTCCTCAGTTGAATTTGGGGCAAAAATAAATTATTTGATGAGGAATTCCCTAGACTTCTTCTACTAACACTTGCTTTATCCTGGAGAAATTCTGTGTGTGTGTGTGTGTGTGTGTGTGTGTGTGTGTGTGTGTACATATATACATATGTGTGTGTGTATCTTTATTCACACACAAATACATAGAATGAGAATAGAGACCTTTGGTATATAAAATTTTAATTTAAATATATTGCTTCTCTCCTTTCAAATAAACATGTTTTATATTTATCATCCTAAACATCTATCACATATATTTATCTATATGTGTTCATGTTTGTGTCTGTGGATAGCAAAAGATAGCTTGAAATGTTAGTTCTTACCTTTTACCATGCTGGTTCTGTGGATTGAATTCAGGTTCTAATACTTTGTGGCATGAGCCCTTACCTAAAAAGCTGTCTCATTGACCCTTGTTAAGAATTTTCAAATCTTAAGTATGTGTCCTTTTTAACTTGTCATGAAATTTTGTTTTTCCTGTTGCTTTTGAAACAAAATGATGTGTTTTAATAACTACTATTATTGAGTATTAAGAATAGTATATTGTATTACTTGCTTTGTTCATGGTCTCAACAAATCATTTATGAAGAAATACACTGTAACTATAAAAAAAACTTTCATATGGCAGACAGTTTGGGGCCAAGACATTATATTACAAATGAATAAAAGAAAAAATTAAATTTTCAGTTATGCAAGTTTTCCTCTGATCCAACAACACACCAGAGGCTAAGAGACAAGTCCAGCCTTAGGAATATATTATTTCTTTTGCAAGTGTTGACCAGTGAGGTTTTCAAGATCCTTGAACATGACACACTATGTCTTTGCAGTTGGTTAGCCTCTAGAACAGTGCTTATTAACCTGATGGTCACAACTCCAATGGAGGTCACGTATAGAACTACATTAAAGTGTCACAGCATTAGAAGGGTTAAGAACCACTGCTCTAGAACTTGATAGTAAGACGCTATTGCTGAAAGTACCACACTAATGAATCATTAAACTTGAAGAAAGCAAGCTGGTGTTTACTGGAAGCTTCATCTTTTCTAGCTAACTCTCATAGAGGTTATGCAAATTGCCAGAAGAGAGCAGTGTGCTACAATAACAAACAGCTTGACAAGACATGCCCACTAGAGCAACAATGATACAGATGTCCTGGAAGTACCTATCAACTTTCTGATTAAATTTGAGTCTTATTTCAGTATTGTGACCCACCAGAGATGACTGCTGATGAACTGAAGTTAAATTTGAGATTCAACAGAACCACGGAACTCTAGGTAATGATGCTCTAGTAGATTTATTGGCAATCTGTGCAAAGTTTATTCTAGATAGCTCAGAGGAGTTCA